AAACTAGTTTTAAGTTTTGGCTCTGGAAATTGCTTTAAGCGCGAAAGAAGAAGAAGAGAGAGAGAGAGGGAGGCAGGGAGTGAGAGAGATAGATATAGAGAGAGTGAATGCGATTTGGCGTTGTATAAAAGAAAGTTGTTTTTTTTTTTTGTTGTTTGTTAATGGCATCTGGTACGATGCAACTCCGTCTGTGCTTTACCGGGATTGTTCCACATTTGAGTGTATCACGTTCATGATATATATACATATATACAGATATATCTACATATATAGGGTCGAGTCGGTGGCGTTTACTTGCTTATAGCTATGTTTGTGTGTATGTGTGTGTGTGTTTTGGGCGTGCCTGAACAGTAACTGATCTGATCTGATGAAGATTTTGAATGAGTTTGACTAAAGCAATTTCCAATACGTATGCACACACATATATATAATAAATATATAGTATATAGTATATATAGCTTGTATCATTTAGGCACTAATTGCCATAAGACTTAACCATATAAAGCGTAGACCACCATATGAACCCTCTTATAATAAACAAAAATAGATTTTTCATTTAAATATATAGCAATCTATCCATCTAGCTGTCTATCTGCCTATATATCCTATATAGCCCAGCTAAGTGGTAGTTAAAATCGAGAGCATTTCTTTAGTTTTACTTCTAGCTCTAAGTTCTCTATTAGTTACGTAGGCTATAGATCATAGCTATAAGCATTTGCTCTCTAGTTTTAACTACAATTGGCTGACTGTCTCTCTCCCACTCTTTATCTCTCACTTCCCTTCCCTTCCCTTCTCTCTCTCTCTCTCTCTCTCTCTCTCTCGCTCGCTCGCTCTGTTCACCTACATCTCCAGCCAAAAACCTTAGCCGTAAGCGCTTTCCGCCCCGCCCTCTTTTATTTATATTTATATATTTTTAATGCCTTTTCTAATAATTTGACCAACTCGACCAACCCCTGACAAAGAAAGCCTCCACCGACCCGACCCGCCCCGCCCCACCCAAACACAAGCCCCTCGACGCACCCGTTAACCGCGCAATTGCCACCGCCTGTGTACTAAATGTGCGTCTCTTGTACTTGTAGATGTCGCCAGCTTCATGGACACGAGCAGTGCGCCGGCCAGCAGCAACGGCGCCTGGGGCAGCGCCGCTGGCAGTGCGGCCGTCGTTGCCGCCGCCGCAGTCGCTGCCGCCGCTGGGGCGGCCGGAGCCGGCGGCGTGGTGGAGACGAAGCACGAGCTGGACCTGGGCATGATGCCGCCACCGATCACCACACAGATACCGATGGGACTGCGACGATCCTCGTTGTCGGGCGCCACGCCCATGATCACCGATCAGCAGCTGGTGCATCTGAGCGCCGATGCGGCGCTCAAGAGCGAGCTGCTGGACGAGAGCAGCTCGCTGAGTCCACGCACAGCCGAGACGCTGCACTCGCCGGAGGCGCTCGATGCGTGCAGTCCCAATGCGCTGCAGTATCATGCGCACTATGCGCGCGAGGGCAGCCTGGACACTATCATGTACGATCAGTCGAATAGTATGCCCGGTTTTCCAGTGCCGGCGGCGGCCACTGTTGACCTCGATCCCGCTGCGGTGGCCGTGGCCGTTGGGCTGGCCGTCAAGCACGAGATTATCCAGCAGCAGCAGAACCAACAGCAGCAGCAGCAACTGGAGCAGCAACTGGAGCAGCAGCAACTGGAGCAGCTGGAGCAACAGCAGCAGCAGCAACAACAGCAGCAGCAACAGTCGGCGGCGGCGGCGGCCAATGTGCACAAGTTCATCGACGATCTGACCAAGTCGACGTCAGTGGTCAATAGCAACGGCACCAGTGAGCCGGCTCTGTTCACCAGTGCGTCGGACATCGACCACGCGCTCACCGATATACTGCAGCAGAAGGTGGGCGTGCTGACGCACACACACACGCATCAGCACTCGAATGGAGCGGCCACAGCAGCGCCGGGTGTCCTCAAGCGCAGCCTCTCCATCAGCAGCAGCAACTCGAACTCGAGCTCGCTGTCCGGCAGCGAAACGTCGCCGAATAGCTCGCCGATCACGCAGGACATCATCCTGAACTCGGAGCCGGCGGCAGCGTTGGGCGCCGGACTGCCGCTGCAGCAGCTGGCAACGGTGCCGGCGGCCGCAGCTGTGGCCAATGCCGGCGGTGCTCTGTCCACGGACATCATTATGAATCCGGCCGTATCGCCGTCGACCATACTCTGTTCGGCGAACGGAGCCGCCACGGCGGTGGTGGCCAACATTCTGGCGCCCCACCAGGTGACCATGGCCAATTCGATATTGAACAACATTGCCATGCAGGCGGAGCCGACGCGTCAGGATGCCGCTGTCGCTGCCCTGGCGCTGAGCAACATTATGATGAGTCCGCCGAATGCGGCCGCCGGCGTCAGTGTCGATGTGGGTGACACGTTGCCGCCCACGCCGGCCGTCATGCAGCCGGAGGTGGCTGCCACGGCCACCTCGACGGCGGTCAGCAACATGCTCATCAAGGCTGCCGCCGATTTTATAACCACGCAGGAGCAGGAGCAGCATCACTACCACCAGCAGCAGCAGCAGCAGCAGCAACAACAACAGCAGCAGCAACAGCAACAACACCAGCAGCAACAGCAGCAGCAGCAGCATGCCCATGCGCATTCCCATTCCCATGCACATGCACACGCCCATCCCCATCCACTTCCGCATCCTCACCCGCATTCGCATTCACATCCGCAGCAACCGCAGCAGGCAGCGAATGCGGCTGCCAGTGCTGGTGATCCGCTCGTCAATCTGCTGCTGAACCACACGACACCAGAAACCGTGGTGGTTGAGGCCGCTGCCGTGGCGGCTGCCGCCGCCGCCGGCTATCCAACGTTGTCCGGCGTCCATCTGCCGGTGGTGCCGCCCACACCACAAGAATCTCTCATTGTTGCGCTGGCCACTGAGAATGCGCTGCAGAAGTCGGTGGCCACCGCGGCCATTACCACCAACGGAGCGGTAATGACCCAGCAGGCAACGACGCCCAGCAGCACCGGCAGCATCCTGCCGGCAGCCGTGGGCGCTGTCGCCGCAGCCGCCGCCGTTGCCGTGCAGCCGCCCATACCACAGGAGCTGACATCAATGTCCGACCAGGACCTAATCAGTTATATTAATCCGAGCACCTTCGATCAGCGTGAGTATCCAGGAGTAAATCAGACTTTATCTATATACTTTACTTTATCTATATACATATGTAGTGGATAAACTCGCTTGAGATATCTTAGGTTAAGATCTGAAAGATCTTAGAAACTGATCGAAATAGGAATCAAATCTCTTCTATTATAAAAGAAGTTCTATATCAGCTAAGTTTGTATAGCTGTCGCACTATAAATTTAGAGCATAGAGAATTTGGAGTGAAGCAAATAGTACTCAAACCAAATAGCATAAATATGACTAAATCCATCCAATACTAATAGCGGCATCTGTGCATTAGCCTACAGAAGTTGTGCTTCAACTCTTATATTTGTATAAGAGTCTATCATGTTAATCGATAGTCTATCTCGCTTACTATCGATAATAATCTATAAAACTAGTTATCTATTTTTAGCATAGCTGAAGGCGTTCAATTTACTGCACAGTTTACTGCGACTTTGAGTAGTACAGATCTTGGGCTTTCCATAATATCCAAGCATCCAGCTTCATAAAATATAAAGAATAAGTAAGCACGTCTGTGCATGTATTGTTGGCTATGCATTTCCGTCTAAAAGAAATGTAGAATAATAGAAATAGCAGCTAAGCACACAGCTCCGGGTATCTCCTAGTCGGGCAATTCCTTCTATTTCAGACTCAACTTGATTGCTATAGAAGAAGAGATTTTAAGTATTTACAAGAGTAAATGTATACTTAATGTGAAGACCTATATTACTAATAATATATACATTTCATACAAAACTAATAATTATAAGATAAATAATATATTTGTTTTCTTTTTCTTTTGCAGTTTAAACGGCAASAGATCAACAAATTAAACTATTGGGTTATTTTTAAACAAATAAGGGGAAACCACACAGGCCTAATGCTAAGCGTATAAATAGTAACAATGAAGAACACACACATACAAACATACACACACACATACACACACAATTACACTTTTTAATGTGGACCAAATGTTGTCAAGTTTTTGTTTTCTTTTTTTTTTCTTATTGTTTGGCCATCAGCAAAACTGATTATCAACAATGAGAATCGGCATATTAAATAGCCTCACACATACACACACACACACACACACACATTTGTATTGTTTTAAGCACACTTGTTAAGCTGTAGACCCTATAGATATACTTTCTTTTTTTTTTTTTTTGTTCTCGTTAAATCTAAATTGATTTTTTTTCAACAAAAGTCAAATTATCTCAAAATGATAACGACTGCCATATAAATACATGATTATAAAGGAATAAAACAAAAACAAATGCAAGTAATCGCCCCAACTAAATAATAATGCAAAGACAACGCACAAAAAAAAAAACATAAAAACA